CGCCCAAGATGAAATGCCCTCCAATCAAAGGCGGCCACTGTTGAAGGGTTGCGGGGGTGCCGCTTTGCTTGGCTTTGTGCCCGACGAATCGGCACATTGCCAAACATCTGCCGGGGGCAAGTTGTGTGGAGACTTGAGGCTGCTGATAAAAGGAACCCACCCAGGTACCCACCCTCATTAAGGTGGAGGAAGCATGGCCCATTTGTTGGTGACAGCTTAAGCCGGGTGGTTCACGAATTCCAATCGAGGACCCTTAGGCCCCTTGGTTTGATTTTCGGAAGAGGCGGAGCCTCGAATCCTCGTCGGGCAGCCCCTAAGAAAGGCGGCAAGCCCGTCGCTCAGACCCCCTTCCAAGGCTGGAACCGTTGGAGGGGGGGGGGTCTGGACGCCCAGACTCGATTTTGCAAATTCAATCCAAAAAGAACGATCCTCAAGAAAGGGGTTTGCAACATCCTTTCAAAGGGTTCTGAAAGACCAGTTTTGTGTTTTTGGGGGAGGGGGGCGCCATCCACTCGGGAAGGGAGAGAAAGCGACTGCAACAAGGGCCCGAAAAGTGTCCATCACCTGACAGGGTGCCGGGGACGGGCTCTGGGTCTGGGCGAGCTTGCCACAGGCTCTGGCTGCCGTTCTGGCATGGGCCAGGCGAGGCGCTATTGAGTTGTTTATTCGGTCCAGAACCCACAGAACCTATGCCGCAAAAGAGGCCCCCCATTTCAAACCGGGTGTTGATGTCCTCAAATTTCACAGTCATCACGAAAGCCAGCTGTGCTAGCAGGCGTTCTAAGCTTTTTCTCTTAGGGGCTGAGCTTCCCACGACGCCTGATTTACTTTGTCGTTTTTGGGTCAATACTTGGGAGAGCAAAGGTTGATCTGCTCCTTCGCCCGTCCTTCTCATGAACCACCCAATTCCCGTTGCGGTGCCCGGCGGGCCTCCGGGGTCAAGTCTTGCATGGGCTAGACATGGAAGCCTGATGTGTTATACAACCCACAGCTCCAGTCTTATCCAACAGCGCGTGGAAAGATACCAAGCAAGATGTCGAAACCGTGCCGGATCCTGTCGAATGGGAATACGTGACAGGCCGCGAATTCAATTGTGAAGCGCTTTGCGGCAATGAATGTACAACAGACACTTTGGAAGGACAAGACCAAACAAATTTATCTAGTCTACGTCAAGGCTGCAGGGCTACCAACATGGACTCTGTTTGGCGGTCTTTGCCATTGTTATGCATCTTGCCCGAAGCCATTCGGTATCCCTTGCTTCTGCTGGAATGGCAGACGGAGTTGTCCAAGTACTTGGGGACCAATGGCTACTTTGGGTTAGCCAATTGTCCCACTCTCAGTATAGCACTGGCAGGTAGCCAGTTGGGCTTCTATGGCGATTCCTATTTGCTTTATCGTTCCCCTCCATTTGGGGGTCCCAGTCAAATTTACAAACGATTCCCCGACAGCACATGGTGAAATTCAGGGCTCGTCCCTGTTTTTTTTCATGATTCCCCCACATGTCCCTCCTAAATGGAGCATATGAGCATTTTCACCATGCTTCACTTGGATGTGACTTTTGTTTGGGGACACCGGTTTCCTTTTGGTTTCCCTTTACAACCATCCAAAAAAGGGGGGGCGCCCTAAAGATCACACACACACACCCGTTTGAGCCACACTCTAAAAATCCGGGTAGAACAAGCTGAGGGGACAGTCCCCCCCCCAATGGGTGCCTTCGCCGCCTCCTTCCTTCTTTTCATCTTGCGACTCATTTGGCTGTGGTGGTCAAAACCCATGGGATCCCATTTTGGGGTAGGTGAATTCACCACCCATTTTCGAACCTATTTTAGTGGTTGGATTGGTTGATGTTCACTGGTGCCAACCGATTTGGGTTTTTTGGTCAGCCCATTTCGCGAGTTGGGGGCCGTGGGGTTTTCTCTCGCCTGGCAGGGCTTCTCCGCTAACTGTGACCAGTGTTTCTGTGGCGTCGTAGCGCCTCGGACCATTTCACCGCGCTTCGCGCTCGAAGTTGCCTTCAAGCAGCCAGGTTTCGAGACCAAGGACCAATTCCCGGGCTGTCGAATGGAGGGGTCGGGTCATGGAAAGCCCCAGGAGCTTTCGGGTGTAAGGAGTTCACTTATATGGCCCAGAATCATCTGCATTGATCATTCATGTGGAAAATTCGGTCTTTCCAGGCAGATCTTGCCCCGAACCTGCCTTTGGGGCTTGCGTCCAGACATTTTGCACCGCTTGGGGCGATGCAAACCAAGGCCTTTCGGCAGATCGCCCCTCAGTTGCCAGTTGGGGTATACCTACTAGGTCCCCCAGTAGTGCCCTTTTTAACCCCTTTTTTGGTTGGGAGGGTTCCCCTACTAAAATAGACTACGGAAAAAAAATCGGGTGCCCTTGTTCTAATCTTTCTACTGGAGGAACTAGCCTACTATAAGAGTTGTCATATGGCAGACTTTAGGGAATCGGACTTCAGCCACCTGGCTAGGGGAATTTCCAGGCTGGAAAGAGAAGGCTTCGCTGGAAAGTCAGCCCTGGCTGGACGGGAAGTGTATTGAAGATCACATACGAAAGGTTGCCAAACATAGGGCCCCTTAGAGTGAGAGTCTGAGAGCTAATCGCTGCATTTGGCTGCGATTCAGCACCTTGGGTTTGAACATGATTCCCCACCCCCGCTGCACCGGGTGCGCTGAGGTCCTGATTTGCACCCACCACAGTCCCCTTTCGTTTGGTCCTTGCACAGCGACATTGGACTTGCACGTGGGCAGGTCACCAAACTAATTGGTAATCTACTGTTGGTTTAGAACAAGAAGCGGGGGACCATCCACCGTGTTTTGCTCAATGCAATGGCCTGATGGGGCGAGGTTGGTTTATACATTCTGCAGTGAAATCGAGGCGCTTGGCACCAAATCACGCGAACAGAAAGCACCAGAAATGACCTGAAATCAAGGTGCTGCGGTGCAGACGTGGCACTTCCTCTTTCAGACGGTCTAAAAGAGCTCATCGGGATGTCTAGAGATCTTTGTGTAGAGGTTTTCTACCACTCCTTGCTGAAGTGTATCGTTTTCCATGGCTCCAAACAGCTCAACTTTGGCCCAAGACTTCCATTGGCTTCAGTAGATTTATATTTTTAGGGCAAAGTGGTTCACCACAAAATAGATCCTGAGATCCAACTCTAAGCCACGCGTCTCCGAGGGAAACCTGCTTTGCGTTGATACCAACTGTGTTACCAAAGGGTCTACACCCGGCCCGTTTTGGGGCTTTCACGGTTGAACGGTGGAAGTGGGTCCCCTTCTGCTTCGCGCCTGGGCAAAAAAGCTTCGAAGTCTACACCCGGCCCGTTTGGGGTGGGCAAAAAAGCTTCGGAGTCGGTTTGGTCGGCCCGAGGCCATTCCGAACAATAGCTTGGTGCCGGGGTCATACCCCGAAAGCCGACGCCTCAGAGCCTCGATTCTTCGGAGAGCGTGCGAGGTCCCAGTGTCTGAGGAACAAAATGGGGTGGTGTTTGTTGGGGAACCGCTGGTTTTCGTGGTGAACCAAACGGAAGCCAACCAATTTTGGGGTTAGCCTAGGAAAAGACAGTCCCAAATGGGTATGTGTTTTTGGAGGGGTAGCCAACTGTGGATTGGTTAAAAAGAACACCAGAAGGAAACCACTCGTTTTTGGGGTTCCGAATTGCGACACATAAATCATGTATCCTTGCCAGGCAAAACATTTTTGGGTGACCCACAAAAAGGAAGACCAAGTTAAGGTTTCTTCTAGTTGTTGTCTGTTTCCTGCTCGCCCCAGTTGCCACTCAGATACGTTGGGACGCGGTTCGCGTTTCATTTCCCAAGCAACATCAATGCTCTCCCCTTCCGATTTCCCTATGATTGAAGTTCACTATTGAGCGTTGTTTGCAGTCTTTTGCACGGGATACTGAAGGAGCTTTGGGTATTTATGTCGGGAAGATTTAGACAACGGGTCAAAGTATATATATATATGTATACACACACACGCACATATTTAGTGTTTTCCTTTCAGGATTTCCTGTTGAGTGAAGAGTTGAACACTTGGCCGAAATGCGGCGTTCATGACTTGGCTTGTGGATGTGCCTGTTCCTATCACCTCAGTGTTGAACAAATAATTGTTCAGATTTCCCCTGGATGCAAGCCACACCTGGCTGAACAGTTTCTTGTCATAATTGTGGATGGACAAAGTCCTGCACCGTTGGGATATGTTGGGATGAAACCCTATGAACAACTGGGAACCCAAGTGGTGCTGAATTCTGTCCATCTAAAGTACGTCTCCTTTTTGGTCGACCGCCCGCACTTAGCTCTATGAGGTACTGCCGCTAGAACTTGGGGTTTCGTTTTGCTCCCTAGGTGGATATGTGTGTGTGTGCTTGGGGTGGTGTTCAAGGGAATCCCAAGGAAGGATGCCATGCGGCGATACAGAACTCTAGTCACCATACTTTGATATATGTTGACACAGGTTTTTAGGGCCCAACATGAGAAAGGTGTACATGCTCTTTGATTGGAGAACCAAAAGGAACCATCCACTTCGAAGAGTCAACTTGCCTCGCCACCATTTGTCGTGAATTCGGCAGCAATTGTCGAGGCATGGTTGCCTTGCGAAATGCAGCGGCTCAATGGTATTTCGATGGAGATCGATGCCCAAGTTATGCTGGCATTTCAGGCAGGAGTGTTCTCTGTGAGCCAACCTTTTGACCTTTCAACAACTCTTGGTGCCTATTTTGGCCGGTGAGTTGGGGTAAGTGATTGGCTCCCGTAGGAGCCGTTCTTGGAGCCGATGCCGTGCAAATCCCGCTCGCCGGCTCAAGCGAGAAGCCCCGCTCTTTGGAGCGATTCTGCGGCTTTGATTCCCACACCCCACCTGCCCCAGTCGAAGCCTCCAAAAAAGTCCGGCAAAAAAAAATGACACCAGAAGTCGCAGCCGGGGATGTTGCACATTCAGCGCGCACACGGAACGGCCAGCAAACCCAAGAGAGCGCGGAAGCGGCCATCGGGACCATGGAGGCCAGGGGGAAGCAGAGTCGGACCTGACATTTGTCGATGGTCTAGGTCCCCCAGCAATTGGTGCCCTTTCTCACCGTTTGTTTTTGTGGTTGGTAGGGTTCCCGGACTAAAATAGACAAAAAAGAAGTTGGTCTTGAAAGGAGCGGCCCAACTTGCAAGGCGGCTCTGAAATTTCTGTGGTGCTACGCTATATGCCTTTCAATTGCCAATTCCCAGAGCTTCCAGCTGATGCGCGTTGCGATTTTTGTTCATGGTACGCCTTTTGGGGTTGTTTCCTTTTGCCAAGGGAATGAGCAGGGACACACATCATTTTAGCGGGTTCTTCCATTTTGAGACCATATACCTGTTTTTGGCGTCTGATTCTGCCCCTTCGTGCCTGAGCACCCCACACCCAGTCCTTGCAGGCCATGGGTAACCAGAGGAAGGCAGCCCTAGACACGTCAGGTGGCCAGGTGCCCCCAAGAACAACTCCTGAAAAGCGAGTCACCACCGGCTTATTGGAGGGTCAAACAACCTATCCCAGCGCCTCGTTCCAAAATGTTGACCCCCGATGAATAAACCTGTTTATCAAGAGGGGGGTTCCCTGCAAGCTGGGTTTAGTCGGGAATCACCACTTTTGGAGGGGATCACCTCCATATTAATACTCTGGGGCTGATGAATATAGGCTATAGGGTCAACATTAGGGAGTGAGGACTTGTATTAGCCTGGATCACTACTTTGGTAGAGCCCAAAGCCAATCGGTGGCAGCTTGATGTTGGTCGCGGAAAGTAAACGCTGGCAGAGTGATACTGTGGATGGATGGAATCCATTTTCGCACCACCCAAGAAAGCCTGGAACGATGATTCCCCCTGTAAATAACCACTTAAGCCGTGGTTTTTCAACATGAGTTGTTTTTCAAGGCGGGGCATGGATTTCGCCACCATCCACAGGGGCCCGTGCCTCTGTGGGGGGTGTCTCAGTGTGACGCGCCGACCAGGCTGATGGATGGGACCCTCCATGGGAGGGTTCATGACTCCAGCCATTTCTCAGGCCTTTGGGCCCAGAACCCAGATTCACAGAATGGAGGGTCGTTTGATGAAGCAGATTATTATAATAAGACAACAACTAATCATTTATGTTCAGGTAAGTTAGATACATCAATATTAAATAATACATTAATACATAATAGAACAACCACAACAGAAGGTAAAGCAGAGGTCCAAACGCCAGGCTCGGGTTTGGGGCGGCTTTTTTGCGTTCCCTCTGCCAGGAGCAGCTGGCCTCCCTGCTAGCAGAGCAGCAGAAGCAGCAGAGCGCGCAGCTTGCTCAGTTCCAAAAACCGGTCCTATGGGCCCAGTTCGACATGTGGGCGTGTCCCTTTGTGGGAAACTGTTGTTGCTTTTGCTTTTCAAGGAAACCAAAAGGAGTTGGACAAGCTACTTGCCTGGCTCCACTGGCACAGTAATTTGCCCAGATGTGTTTTGTGGAGTCACCATGTCCAAGCTTTTTCCAAAGGGACACCAGAAGGCAAGCACTCTCTTTTTGCGGCCGATGGCTGGTGTTTTTAACGACAAATATGTTTTTGGGGGTTCTCTAAAAAAATGGACCCGAAATTTCGGTGCTTGGCTTTTCCTGGCTTCCCCATGTTTTCCACAAAGCCAAGGCCGAGGTCTTTTTCGCGGTTGCAACCACGGAGGGTCGGCTTCCGGGCGCGGACTTGAGGCTTCAAAGCCTGGAGCAGGAGCTCGCAGAGCTCAAGGACGCCGCGCGCTCGCGCAAGCGACGCGCTCGACCGCTCGACCCAGCGAAGCGCGAGAAACGTGGCCTCGTCGTTCGCATCCCATTTAGTGGTTGAAATTCTGAATATGTTTATAAAGGTTTTCCACACAATGGCATTTGGAAGAGAGCCGTTTTGGGGCTGGCGCTATCCAAAGTTGCTGAAGAGGGAGCTGTTCGGAGCTCCCAGGAGTGGAAGAACATGGCATCAGACTCAGTGTTGCCATTCAGGAGATGTGAGTCCGTTGAGACTGCATGAACCTCGTTTTGTTGGGCGAAGATCATGCAGTTGCCCAGTTGCCCAGTGGCGCCCTTTTTCCTTCCTTTTTGTTGGGAAGGGTTCCCCTTCAAACTCAACCAACCACAAAAAAACTTGCGATTATTTTTTCCCATGGCCACTGGGCATGTGAGTAAGTGCTAAATTTTCAGTTTAGACTTTTTGTTGGCCAATTTTCACAGGAAGCGGGGTGAAGGGCAGCCAGGGTTACTTGTAATAGAGCGCCCAAGCATTTTGGCCATGGATTCCATTCATTTGTTATGCTGTTTGGGGGGGCAGCCAGCTGCCTTCGCACCCTTCGCATGAAGCCTTTGGAGTTGAGCTGTCGAAACAGTTTGAGACTGAGCTTGCGGTGGTCGTTTTGGTTTGCCTTTAGAACTACCCCAACATGGGTATTTAGTATATAGCATCAAACCAAGACACACCCGTATGGTCCGGATGATGTTGTTGTTGCTGCAAAAACCGGTGTTTGTTTGTCCACTGCGTACCCCCGGCTTGCTTTGATCCCCGGCTTCGTTCAGGAGAAACGCGGGCGAGAGGGTGATGAGGCCTGGGGATGGTCTTTTGGCAGTTTGGCTCACCTGCGTTCCTGGACTTTAGATCAGTTTGGGATGATATGTTAGGCAAAGTGTGGCTTTTCTACTCACTTCCCGAGTTCCGTTTCGGACTTTGACTACGTTTATTGGGTTTGGACCTGTTGAGTGGCAAATAACAAGTTGATCCCTTTTTTTTGGGCCAATCTACTCAGGAAGTGAGTTGGGAACGTCATGGGGCCCACACAGCTTGTTCCATGTCCTCTTGGGAGAACACGCATTGTTGTGCAGGGTCAGGTTTCGGGTTGGTTCCCTGTGCCATCATTTGCCAAGAAGGGTTAAGAATGGTGATTGTCTGGCTGTCCAAGGCTGGGCTATGATCCGGAAAGCTTGCGCTGGGTTTGACCCCCGTTGATTTGGTTTGCAGCAAAGGATTCACCCGTCATTTGTAGATTAGACACGGATGTTTATTTCCTGGCTTTAAAAGCACTCTTAGGACTGCCGAGCCCACTTGCATCGGCGACTCGACAGCGGCACTGAGATGTTTTTTGAACCAATGGCTATGTGCGAAATTAGGGATTCGAAGCCCCGGGGTGATATTGAAGCGAACCTAAAAAGGGTACACTCAAACCGCAGAGGCCCTAAAAATGCCGCGAGGTCAGCTTTTTGCGAGGAGAGGTGACAGCTCTGGCAAGCACGCTGAAGGCGGGCGCCGTCAGAGGTCTGGCAGCTTTCCTCTTGATTTGGTTTTGCCTGCCTTGGGCTGACTAACAAGGCTGTAGGCGGGACACTTCCAGTTCAATCTACGGGAATTGAGAGTGGGTGGCTCCCTTTTGGTTTCCCTCCAACCAACAACAAGACACTCAAGTGGATCATTCTAGCTGCCCCTACAAGAGGCCCCCCTCAGATGCACATGGTTGGACCCTCGGACAAGCAACCGTAGCTTCAATTTGGAAACAACACATGTTGACTCCACTGCAACGGCTTTAGGTACTTTTTGAACGAGGGCAGCGCCACTTTCCGCTAGTTGCGCAGGATTTGGATGAGAGGCCGTCCAGCATCACGCACCTCGGGCAAATGGCGCATCGCATTGTGGCGCAAGGATGGCTAACGACACCTATTCAGATTGAGTTCCAAAGGTACCACGGACAGGATGCGGGCATGTGCATATCTTGCCGGCCCCCTCTGAAAAGACGGACAGACCCATGAGAGAAATGGCTCGAGGGTAGCCCTTTGGGGTTGGGTAAAAGTGCTGCAAACACGGAGAACACTCAGCTGAGGTCAGCGTGGAGAGAAGCGCCTTGGCAAGCGTGCGGCGTGTCGTGGGGTAGGTTGGCTCGGTTGCTGAGCACGATGAGGCTAGTTTGTGGCCTCTAGTGTTGTCTTGCATGGTCTGTTACGGTCTTTTGCCGCCCTAGTACTGTTTGTTTTGGGCAGGGACACCTGCGAAGCCAAGAACATGATTGAGGCAGTCAAAGATGACAACGTTCGAAGCCGGTTTCTTTGAGGGCTATTTTCAGAATGACGCACGCATCATTGTGCATCGGCAGTGATTTGTTTGTTAGGATACGACTGATGTCGTATGTTTGCTCGTTTGTCTTCTACCCAAAATATTTCAAAATTAACAAGGCAGGCAGACCCTGCGATTTTTTTTTGCTGATTTCTCTGAGCTGCGGAATCAACCATACCGGGCATCTTCCGTTTTTTCTCCCCCAAAAGCTCGGCAGCGGAGTTCTGGGGTGGAGTCTCATGTCTGATATGTTCAGGTGCTGAAGAGCGAGATATTGGAGGCTGTGAAGCAAGAGAACGAGGCGCTGGAGAGAGACACAGAGAGAGAGAGAAAGAGAAAGAGAGAGAGAAAGAGAAAGATAAAAAGAAAAAAGAAAGAGAGAGAAAGCCGGGTATAGTGATCAGTGATTATTCTCTTGGCTGTTGTCATTGTTATCACTGTTATTGTTTGGTCGTGAGCCCTACGTATTGCAAGTGCAACAAGGGAAGCCCTCTGTATATGTGGCTAGGCATGTGATGCTTGAGGCGCTGCACCTTCATGCCCAAACCCACGCCAGTGAGATCATGGCAGCCGAGGGTGAAGTGTCAGCTGAGCAAGCGAATTCCATTGGCCCAGCTGGGTACGTGGACGTGCTTTTTGACCGAGACGCAAGAACCCCCGAGGGACATGATTGGTTCCAAGGGGTCTCACAATGGTGGAGCCCCTATGGTGTTCCCAGAAGGAAAGCCATTTTTTGAGCACCCATTCATTTATGAACCATTCCTATAGGATTCCTACTCTATCTAGCTTTTCCAGCTACCACAGACCCCCCCTGAAACCCACCGTTTTGGAGGACCGAAGGGCATCGACGTATTTTTTGGGGGGCCGAAGCCCATGTTGGGGGACCCAAGGGACCGACCTGATTTCTTGAGAGAAGCGCCGAAGGCATCGACTGTGTCGCAGGCCTTCCGGGAACGGCATCTCCAGGAGGCTTCCACTGCGGAGAGCGCCCGGGTCCTCTGATCGCCCGAGTTTCTGGGCGCTCCAAGCATGTAATAATGATATTTTTTTTTTAAAGAAAAAAAAAACACGTGGACGAAATGGGTGTGTCTTCTCCTTGTTTTCTGTGGGTCTAAAGGGGAAAGCAAAAGCAAAAGCAATCACTTTGCGTGTCAAAAGCGTATTTTGAGGCGAGCCTAAATATAGACGAACCCAAGTATGGACCCGCTTGTTCAATGTCTGCATGTTCCAAGTTTTATGGTGATCCTGTTGATGTAGGTCCTTTACTCGGATCTTCAATTCATATTTCAGGTTGCTACAGTTATTGTGAAAATTGCAGGATCTCATGTTGCTCCCCCTGCAAGGGTGCGTATCTAATGTTGATCAAGTTTGTTGTATTCTTGTAGAGGACTTGTTCGTCTTAGCCTGCCAAACCAAAACACTGGAACCTGAAAGAGGGTACTTGCTGTTGGAAAAACAAGTTCCAGAAAGTACCCTTCAGGTTCCTGTCTAATTATGGGAGGGAATGATATATGTATATACATATATACATATATACATATATATATATATGTGTACATGTGAATGAATATGTGCTTGTGCATATATGTATGTATAGGTTCACTAAACATGGGCCATACTATACCAGACCAAGAGGGCATGGGTGCCCACCGCAAAAACTGAGGTAGGCTGGGTCTTCGCTTGCCAAGGTGCAAGCAAGCGGACTCAGGCAAAGATCTCACGAGACTATTGGAGATTTGCAAGCAGAGTTGATCAACTCGATGTTAAGTGGTTCTTAACTCAGGTTCTCAGGCTGCTGACTAACCAAAGGCCAATTAAGGACAATCGACCCTTTTGGTGTCCTGCCGTAACATCCGAACTCCTCCCAAGGCTGTCCTTTGCATATGTCCCTACCGTGGATGGACGAAGTCCTGCACCAATTAAGAAACCCTGGAATTCCCCTGTAAATACCAACAAACAACGGTTTCCCATGGAGTCAAGCGGTGCGAAATGGATTTCTTTCATCCACGGTATGGAGTTTGACCATTGGATGGCAAGTGCTCCATGTAGCTACGCTCCTGCGCGGGGTGTAGTTTTGGCTTTCCCCCACGGCCCATTCACACCAAGCACCTGTTGTCCATGTGGGTGCGTCAATTTGGGGAGAACTCAATCAGTCTGTTTTTGCAGCGAAACGAGAAGGATTCCAACCATATGTGATTGTCCTTCTCAAGGGAATTCCATGCCTACAGCGTCCGCGCATCTTCTAAGAAGGCCTTGAAACAAATACCATCCATCAGGAGATCCCAGAAAAACCCCCTGCACGGGAGCGAGCGGGAAAACCCACTTCACGACTTTGGAACTGGGTCTCAAGCCAACTTTTCGGGGTTTCCATTTAGATCAACCGTTTGACTGGGATGATGTGGCCTTTACAGCTTAAAGTCGTTGTGTGTTTGGCGCTGTCAAAATCACCGTTGGGGAGATATGCTTTTCCTTGCCATTTTGGGCGTACGGACACATGGCTCAGGTCAAAAACCTGGAGCCGCGGCCTCAGATGCCGATGCGTGGGAATTGGGAATTGGGTCCACTTTTGGTTGGTTTTATGAAAGTGGGGCCAATTACTTGGTTGACTCGTTTCTTACTAAGGCCCTCGGACCTGGGTCCCGGGCTGGAGTGTTCCTATATATTATGCCCCCTTGTAGTTTTGAAATCGTGGTTCTGAAGCATCACCTGATATGGCAGACCCATTGCCTGAAGCCCCTCCAATTCATGCCCGGCAGATTGCAACTGGAACTTGCTAGCAATTGCCAGGGCATATGGTGACCATTTGTGTATACATGCATATCTTGCTTGGGAGGCATGACACACTCTGACAATTGTGGCAGCCAACTATTGGTCCACGGACTGGCGAGCTTGGAGCCGAACACTTCAGAGAGCCGCATGTTGCTGCTTCGTGTTCCGAAGGGGTTGGCAAAACTCAAACCCCGCGTTCAGGTCCCTAAAGTGCCCTGAGATTGCTTTGAGAGGAAGCAGCCCCCTTTCCTTGGTGGCTCCCAGCCGTCCGGTTCCTCACGATTTTTTAGTTGCTTTTGGCTTAGTGGTTGGGTTTCCATTTATTCCACAAAAAGCCAAACACTTTTAGCAGAGGATCAGATTTCCGGAGCTGTCCTCTTTCAGGGTGCTCCACGGGCTGCGGAAAATCTCCGCGCGTGGAGTCACTTGCTGAGGCTCACCATGGGCCATGTGTCCCGAGAGCTTAACAGGCTCTTACAGAAGGTCGGCGGCTTTGAGGCCTCTCACGGACGATCCGATCGGATTTGTTCCGATCGCGCGCGATTCTTTTTTCTGCACGTGGATAGACCAAAATCCATTTGCGCAGCGGTGCGGTGGTGAAAGTCCTAGGGTTTTTGTACATCCACACTGGAGTCTGTCCAAGGGACCCCTACAGTAATCCATTTGCGCACCGGTAATTAAGGTGGTGAAAGTCTTAGGGTTTGCATGGCCATGTGATGTGACTTGACGCGCATTGATGTGACTTACACCGACCGTATGCAGGGTTTTCTACATCCACACTGGATTCTGTCCATCCAAGGGATTGCATCTGTCCAAGGGACGCCTGGCACCCTAAATGGGCGTTTCAGCCTTAGGTGGTGGAACATTCCAGTATTCGTAGGGTTTCATACATCCCCACCGCAATTTTCTGGCCAACGGAGCCCTGAACCCCGACCCCCGGGTCCCTAGGGACCCAAGTGCCTCCAGTACCAGATGACTCCAACCTGCGTCGGGATCGGAAGGCTCCTCGCACAGAGATTCCCTGGAACTCCCAAATGCCTGGGCTGGTGTAGGAAAGTGAGGGAAACCACCATTTTTTCAAACTGCGATTGTTGACGTCGCCAACAATCTACGTTATATAGTTGTAACTGGAAGCCCCAAGGCGCTTGCCACTTTAGGTCGCCGTGGGAAGGCACCATCCGAGAAATCGAATCGGATTCCATAGCGAGCGAGGGCGAAATGGAAAAACACGAATCCCCGAAGGCGTCGGCCAATTGCAAATTGGATGCCTGGCAATTGCTGCCATGCCGGGCCTTTGTATTGCTGAGATATTCCATGTGAAGCATAGACTCATGCTGCTAGGTTGGGTTGCAAGCACCCTGATATGTTGCACGTCGCAGACCATTTTCTTAGGGTGTCCGATTGCTTCATGTTGTCTTCGAGCACCGAGTTTGGTCAAATGATCGTCCATTTGGGAATCCCCAATATGTTATTCTCTCCAGGGAAGAGTTGTGCATCTTCATAGATCATGTTGTTTGTTCGGGTGTTCCATCAGCCGTTGGCGTAGGATCATTTGCCATGCTTAAAAGGGGTACAAGCATCGTTACAAAAAGAAGAAACAAAAAGAAGTACGATGGAATTTAAGTGTTCGTACCCCTTTTAAGCATGGCAAATGATCCTAACGGCTCGAAATGATCTTCATATATGGGCTTGGCAGCAAGGGAAAGCAAGCCACTTATTCCCAGACTTAGCGCACTGGTTGGACTTTGGGTTTTCCATGGTTCTTCCGTTGAAGCAACCCCCCCTCCCCCCAGACATTGCGCGCTAAAGGCGAAGCTAACTTTTTGCAGGCTGGTTGGTTGGCCAATGGGCGATATGGCTGTGGGTCAAAACCAATGGGATCTCATTTTGGGGTAGGTGCACCACCCATGTTAGAACTATGTTAGTGGGCATTGGGATGTTCACTGGGGGTGGATTGGGTTTTGACCCATGGGCGATATTGGTCTCGCCCTATCCGTTCGCAGGTTGACTCGTCGCCAAGCCAGACAGTCTCCTTTGACGTCGCTGACACAGCTGGGCGCCTGGATAGCTCCGAGTCGAAACCCGCAGAGACTTGTTTGGCCAATTGGACTCTCGTGGCCTTTTTGGCTATTTGGGTGGGTGGGTGGGTGGGCGGGCGGGCGGGCGGGCGGGTGGGTGGGTGGGTGGGTGGGTGGGTTGGCTGGTTTTCTTTACTCCTTCAACAACAAGAGGGGTCCCTGGTGGTGAATCCAGCATGTGCGCTGAACATCCTCATGGGCAAGTTTATTTCCCTTGACTGTGCCTGGTTGCCTGCAAGGACCTATCCACAAAAAGTGCTTAACTTTTTCTGGGTCCAATGGGAAAACCGACCTGGCCTACAAGTCCCAGCAGCCCACCATGAGTTTCGCGATAATGCCTCTTCGAGCTTCCGGTTCGAAGATGTGATTCCCCATTCTCTGCACCCATCGTTCTCCTTGAACACGCTTGAACACCACCATTTGCCAGGGTTTGGTCCATTCTTTGAAGAGAATGATGCCTGAAGAGAATGGGGAGGGTACAGCTAGAGTTGTTTCATTTCGAGTCTCCTGACTGGGCTTCACATGCGGCTAGCTAACAACCTTCATGTCACACTTGATGGTTCTGGGAGGAGGCTTTCATGTTTCCATTGACCAAGCACGAAGTGCGAAGTCTGATCCACAGCTTTGCAGTTGCGGCAAGTTCGCCTGGCATCTCAGAATTTTGCACAAAAGAAGTGGTGGGAATGTGGGTATGCACTATTTGCACACACACACACTTACCTTCCACTTGCTTAAAAGCATCTTCTGCTTTTTTCCCTTGTTGGTTTAAAAGGGAGTCCATTACTACTGGAAACATGTTTCTTTTTTCCAGGGGGCAAAAAAGCAATGCTAACGCCCAAAGCTCTCAGATCATGTGCTCCACAAAGACGACCCTCGAGGGCGCTGTCATGGAGGCGGTGTGGCCGTGCTTGAGGGGGCACCAGCGGAGTCCGTTTTGGTGTAGCAGGGATGTGGTTGATCACTCGTGTTTTTGTTTTTTGCTGTGATACTTTTGGGAATCTCCCCCATGTGTAAAAAAAAAACACTTACAACTTATCCAACCACTTTTGTGATACTTTTGGGAATCTCTCCGCAAGCCGGTTGGACACCCATGGAAAGCCCCAAATCCGCTGGAAACGCATTGGACACCCCTTGGGATTTTGTGGGACCCAGTTGCATGTCCTGCAAACTCATTGGAAACCCATTGGACCAGGGTTGTGGTTGATCACAAGGGGTTTATTTTCATTGTGATACAAAAAATATCTCCCTTATGGGGGGGGTTGTCTTTGGGAAGCCCCGTGTGTTGTATCACAGAAGTGGTCATTTTCCACAGCCCTGATAGGCAGGGAATGAGAACTGGAATGACACCTAGAAACACCATCATTGTGAGTTGCTTTAAGGGAGCCCCCTTCCGGTTCATTCCCAAAACCCGGACACGCACCAGCAAGAATTCTAGCGACTCTAATTGGTGGTTTGGAGCCATGTGGTTTGGATGTGGGGTACCTTCTCCGTTTGGTTTGTAAAGATGCTGAGGTTCTGATCCAATTCCAAACCACCAATCCAAACCAGCTAAGGGTAACCTGATACTTGAGTGATTTTGTTCTCAGTTTGAGCAGCAAACCCAGGGCCCCAACTGGCCCTTTTAGTAGGTGGTTTTATATACCTGGTTGAATAGGGATTACAATAACGGATATATTGCTTTGCTCCAAACAACGTCAATGGAGCCGCTCGTTTGTGGTGCCCTGACCTGTTTTGTGATGATGAAAGCAATATAAGGGGTAAGACAATTACACACCTTCCCCTATGATCATGCCCCAACCCACCATTCTCATTATTTCGGCTCTTGTTCTAGCTGGCAACCTGAAACCCCCGAAGCTCTTTGCAGGTCAGAGATGATCAGCTCAGACCACTCAAAGATCTGAAGCCGGCGTCTCAGTGCCGTTGGTGGCGAGAGCTGAGCGAAGCGATTCGCATTGGCCATGTTGATGCTATGGATGACGAAATCCTGCAGCACTTTGAAACCATGGGAAGTCATTGTTTGTCGGTATTTGCCTCAACCTTCGTCCTCCTGAAAAAAACAAGTAGTTTCCGCCTTTGACTGGATATTCGGACAATTTCAGGGAGTTTGAGTGTCCAGCTGCAGGGGAACCATCATTCCAGGCGTGTTTTAGGTGGTGGGTTGGATGTTGGATGGATTTCGTCCACATCTTCGGTTTGGGGCTCCTCCCCATGGCACGACCTATGACCCGGGTCCCGAATCCGAATCCGAAGGGTTCTTGGAACCGGAGGTTGTCACCGAATGGAAACGCGTCCCGGGGTCTTGTTGTGCCATTTCGAGAAGAAACATCCTCAGCATGTTGGGTTCGTTGGGATCTACTTGTAGGGCGGCTCCAGATCCAGCTGATTGCTGGATCTGTGTCGGAATTAGACAAGCAACTGAATATGTCAACAGAGATCCACTTGAACAGGTCAGATTTTCACAAATCAAACAGCTGAATATTTCAACCGAGATCCGGTTTTGACCACCCCCAGAAACCTTGACACTGAGGATCAGCCCAGATATCTCCAGACTCTCGAGTGCCACTCAGGATGGCGGTGACTCGGCCCAATCGATTCAGTCGGTGGGGCGGGATGGGGTGGGGTATGTGTCTGCGTCTGTGTGTCTGTGGGCGTGTGCCTGTCTGACCCTGTGTGGGTGCGTGTGTTGCATGTTCGTGTAGTGAGTATGTATGAGGTGATGTGTATTTGCCCCTCCGCGGTTGTGCAAATGTGTCAGTTGTGGATGGTATGATGGCGTGCTTGCCAGTTATGTTCGGTTGTTATGGTTTTTGTGTGATGTGGTGTGTTCCTATGGCAGGTGGCTCACCCTCTATACTTCCGAGAATGCAAACCTGCGGGTTCCTCTAGGGTTGACCCCCCCGACTTCTAAGGCTGGATGACGGCATTTTAGACTTCTAACAACGGGGGATTTGCCCCGGCTCAATATTTATGCACACGTGTGTTGTTGTTTGTTGGGTTCCTTTGTGGTTTGATCATGTCTTGATGACACTCGATGCCCAATACCTCGATTGACTCGATTCACGTGGGGCTCAATGACTTATACCACCTCCCTTCGCTTAAGAGGGGGCGGCTCAGAACCAATGACTTGGCCACCTTTCAGTGGGGCCGGGGTGCGTCAGGTTCGGTGTAAAATCGCTGGCTTGGCCCGTTTTGGCGCATCCGAAGTTTCCGAGGAGCGGAAAGTGCACGAACCTGCCCTCCCCACGAAGAGCCAGGTGCGGGGGGGCAGAGAGTCCGGGTCTTAAAGATGGGTTCCCCAAAAGGATAGATTCATGGTTGGCCTTGCAGATAGGTTAACTTGGATAGGTTGAAAGGCCCCCTTTTTGGGGGAATAAGGATAGCGTCAGTAAAAGACACACCCTGTTTGGAAGTCAGACAAATATAGACCCAGGATGTTTCAACTGATTCGGTGGATGTTTGGGGAGTGTCCCTTAAAGAATTTCTACAAAATCCACCAAGGAGTTCAGAATTTTGAATTCGCCCAGGCCAGTTCCCTGGTTTTAGAACACACTCAATGGATGGACCCCCAACAACCTCCGAAGGAGTTCTTGACTTTAAAGCCACCCAAAACAGGCACCCCGCGAAAAGCATCAAGCAACTTTCACTTGCTGGAGCCATAGGCAGGGAATGAGAAATGGACTGATTCCGATTTAAACCATCCAAGTGGTGGTTTCCGTTATGCGGGAATCCCCAAAACCGGTTCATGTAACTACATGGAATGAGGGAATGACCCCTTATGATTCCTTTATTCAGGAATCCCCAAAACCGGTTCAATCAACCACATTCAACCATCCAACTGGTTTCCCTTATTCGGGGACCCTGGGTGCGTTAATCCACATTCCCTACCGATTTCCCACTCTCTTCCCAGGGGTCCAGTTCATCTCTCAGCCCTCCACCGCGGACACGGGCGCAGTGACGCCGCCTTCGCCTCTCGCTTGAATAAACGGCTACCGTGTGTTGTGGCATGCGTGCTTTGTATATATCTACCATACATATATATATATATATATAGACACATGTACATATAGATATATATGCATATGACATATATAATATGTTATGTGTATACATATATATATATATATATATGCTAGCCCATGATCCACTTTTCTCTCAACTCATCTTCCATTTTCAGCAAATCCACTCATGTGAGAATATGTATGTATTTTTCTGTATGCATATATAGTATATGTCAGTTGATGTTGATGTGTTGTGGGTTCTGTGTGTTTGAGCTTCTGGTTCCGATGTCTCAAGCTACACACTGCAGCACACTGATTCGGAAGCTGCATCAGGGTCTCCACGAAAGTTTGGATTTTGTTCCCAAATGTCAGCTCACAGTGGTGCGAACTCGACCAGTCTCCACCACCAGTCACTTGTTCTCAAGTTTCTATACGCTGGTCAGTACAGATCGAGTAGATGTCAAGTTGCAGGGCCCATCATGCTTGTCCTTTCAAAAAAGCCGGGGAGGGGGAATGGCTCCGAATGTTTGATGTTCAGAGGAGGCTTTGTCCAGTCCCTCTGAACATTCAGCAAGGGCCCCTTGCCACTGCCCAAGTACCCCCAGACCTTTTATCGCGACCGTTGGGTCCGGGAAGGTAATTACCACGCAGCTATGTGCCTTTAGCTTCCGTTGCGTCAAGCTGAAATTTTACGCGACCCCCGTTCACCAAGTGCAGCGCGCTTCCAACTTTGGATCAGCCGAGGCAGCCTTTGCAGCAGCCCGCATATGTGCTGAAGGACTCGAGAGCTGGTGGAGATGGATCGACCGCACCGAATCGGAGGTGTTCTCTGAGGTTGATTGGTGTTTTTGTTATGGTTGTTGAGGAGATTGAAGTGGACCAACAAAAAGGTGTAAACCTAGAAAGTTGAATCCAAGGGGCAAAATTCAATGAATTGGTCCTGCTTGGTGGGAGATCTTCAGGCATATTCGGAGACATGTCAGTCAGACCTAGAACCAAAGATCCTTGGCTTGGTGGCAAGCCTCAATGTTTCTGCTGAAAATTCAAATTGTCCTAGCCTTCCCATAAAGCCTTGTCTCGGAATCTCGGATATTGAATCTTGCGTCCAGGGCACAGAGACTCTCCAGACTACAGATTGCTTGAGAACAGACACATCACAAGCTATGCTTAGCACAGAGGCTCCCAGCCCTCCTGTATGACTCCTTGAAGGGAAATCAAAAATAAGGCTATGGGGAGACCGGCCTAGACAAACGCGCGTAGCACCTGGCATGACTTTGGCTTGAGAGCTCACAGCCCCATGCCACTTATGAGGCCCTTCTCAGTTCTTCAACTCTTCCAGTAAACAGTTTCCCATACTCCAGGCCTGGAGTACGATCCCAACAAACATCGAGCCCCAGGGCCCAAACAGGAATAGCTAGGTGTTATACGGAGGGGCTAAATAGAGATGTGAAGTTTGCTCCACAACCCGTCCGTTGAAGCATGTCACCAAGCCATCATTTGACGAAGGGGGCAATCCCTGGTGACCTATAGCTTGTTCAGAACAGAGCTTCCCATATTTCCCCGTCGTTTGCACATCACCAGTTTGGCGCCATTGAGTGAGTCTCCTTTGGTGTGGTCACGTTTCATGGGGAAATGTGGCCATGGGTCAAAATCCCGTGTCCCCAGTGAACATCCCAATCCCCACTAAAATTGGTTCTAAAAGTGGGTGGTGACTTCACCTACCCCAAAATGGGATCCCATTGGTTTTGACCCACAGCTGTGTAGGGAACACCCCCCAACCAAACCAAACGCATCACGAGCCGCGCGCGCGCGTCTCCAGGGCACGACGCCGCCCCGGTACCCGGTGCCAGTTTGGCAGACGCCCCGCGGATGCAGCGGGAGGTACCGAGGTAATCCATGGAGCCGGAAGCTTCCCGGTCATAAGCGTCCTTTTTAGGTTGTTTAAAACTAGATGGCACTGGTTTAGATGGGTGTTGTTCCATTTGGCTGTGGCTCAAAAAACCGCAATTCCAAGATGGAACCCTGGTAAGTGGAAACATGGACCAAAATCTGCGGTTTGCCCCTCCTGTTTAATTTTGAGCCACACCCATTTACCAGGGCCATCTCTTTTTCCAAAAGGCCACCTCTGTTTCGGGTCGTTTCTAGCTGGGTGGTTGCAACCTATCGGCACCGAACTCCTTTTCCAGCAACCCAACCTGGCAAAGCATGGGGGGACACCTGGCAAAATATGGTGGACACTTGGCAAAAAAGTCATGGGGAAAACCTGGCAAAACATGGGGAAATCTGGGGAAAGGGCACCAAACTCCTTGTCCAGCAACCCAACGTCACCTATTTTCCGGACCCTTTGAAAGTTGCTGGTTTAGGTTGGTCAGACGTCTCAACCAGAATGTGGGACCGACTGGTTGGGTCCAGAAGTCTCGGCCAGTTGCCTGTCCTTCATGGTACTGTCTGGGGTGGGAATGCTGAGTCCAACCCTGAGCTGTACATTTGGCTGTGAGGCCTTCCCCAGTTCAACACCAGCTTCAGTCGCAGCAGCCGCAGCCGCAGCAGCCTCAGCCGCAGCAGCCTCAGCCGCAGCCACAGCAGCTGCAGCCGCAGTCAAAGGCGCTGCAACCGCAAGCCCAACAGTCGCTGCAGCCGCAATGGTGCCTCGCCTGAATTTCTCGTAGTTTCTGGTTCAGTTGGGAGGGACACGGCGAAGCTCACTATCCCACAAATGATTTTGACCATGGCTCAGGTGGGTGGTTATCAAACCCGGTGTTTGCACTATCACTAGTAGATAACCGCGGGAAACCCTCACACCTGGAGGTAACACGCCCAAGGGTTTACCTAATATAGTGGTTTGCCTGGATGTACCGAGCAGGACTAATCAATTTGAAGCAAGCAGGCTGCTGACTTAGTGGCTCTGGTTCATTTGCGTTCCAGCTGCTTTTTCGCAGCCAAAGGTCTGTCCGAAAACAGCAGCATCACGGGCTTCTGAGTCACGATCAATTCCCTCCAACACGTGGGGTCTTTACACCGTGTTTAGGCATGTATGGTCTTTGAATGGAGCGCTCACAACCCAACAGGAGGCTTCCATATGTTCACTACATTCCCTTGTGTATGTTCATAGAATATGAATGCAGTTCATCATATTACATATATATACACACCTGGACAAGTAGATGAACAAACTAACCAGGTATGTATATAGATCAATATATGATAATCTATATACACATGCATGTCAGTACGTTTGCTGTGTTCAACGCAAGGCGCCGAAGCTTGCCGGTGCAGAACCGACCAGGCGGGCAATAGATTAAGCAGTGATCCAAATCTCTGGCGAGGACTACATTTGGGGCTGGCTTGCCCTTCACCCGTCATGTAGAGGGTACATTTCAGGATGTCGTGGTTTAAAATGACCCAGTCAGTAGTGACTGGAAGGTCATGATTTTACCTAGAAGGCCTCAGGGCTAAATGAGCAGACTATTCTGTGAGTTAGCGCTCTGTAGCATTTGATATTTGTGTCTTTCACTAACATGACGATTGTTAACGACAAATAGGTCTCAGGAGAAGTGTTTAAGTTTAATGTCGATTAATATAATATTGACTTGCAATGGTGCCATGGAAGTCCTTTCGCCTCAGAATAGCTTTGCTCTACCCATGGTCCCACTGGACAACATCAACACAACACTCCTTCTGATTTGCTGTACGTGCTTTTGCTTTTTGTTGGACATGAAATGGGCAAACCGCAACGTGCAGCTGCCACTTGACCTTGGGCCACAGCAGTCATTGATTGAAAATCTGGCTCTTCAGGAGCCTCTCGACTGTAGAATGAGTTTAGTGCTGCGCACGCACCAGAGAAGTCAAGACTACTCTGCAATTGAAAAAAGGAACCCCCCAAGAAAGGTCCCCCGAAGAGGAGCCCCCGAAAAGAGATTCCTGTAATGATTTTTCGAGCTACATGTGAATGTATATATATATATACCTAGCAAGCACGGGCCTGCAAAAGTGAATCTCGTCGGGAAAACATCACGACCAATGCCCCAGGCCCAAGGTGAGTTGTTTTTTTAGTGTTTTTTGTTGTTGTTTTTGTTCGGGATCTGCGAACAGTTTACGTTCCTTCAGCTTGAGCGTAAATATGGATGTGGCTGCCAACGAACCTCCGCAACCCGCAATTTCTCCTTGGTTTCAACAAGAGAAAGCCCGCAGGCACCGGAAGTGGGCCAAATACCCACTAAATCCCAAGGCTCTCTCAGACTCTGGGCTGCTAAAGTCTACCAAGAGGCCACCAAAGGCTACGAAAAGGCTACCAACAGAGGCTACCAAGGGCTAGCAAGGGATGCCAAAGGCTACCAAAAGGCTACCAAAGTTCTCAGTCCTTGCCTTGGCCCAAATACTCCTATGCAATTCAGATAGTGTATATATATATATAATAGTTCAGTCAAAGGCAGTATACATATATATATATATGTATATGTTATACATGTATGTATATATATCTGGCCCCAAACATGGGTTGTTGCCTTCTGGTCTGCTTCCAAACAATCCCCAAAGAAACGGGTACCCTCAAACAGCGGCCTCTATATCAGGGCTCCTCAAAAGATCTCCATGTTGCAACCATTTGAAGCATGGCTTTTTCCGCCAAAACAAAGGGACACCCCCATTTACAAGTTGCAATGCTCAGGTGTACAATGTAAGGATCCCTGTATGTGTATATACTCACAATAAGCCCAGTGCCTTTCAGTTTTCACAGCGACTGGCAGAGAGTCAGCGAGTCAGGCGCCACCTCGCCCTCGCCAGCGGTGCTGCGGATGCGGCAGGAGACCTCGCAGGCGAGTCCGGCGAGGGGAGGAGTGTATATGTGTCAAAATCTCAGAAGTTCCACGGGTACAGAGGAAATGATGGGTTTTCCATATGGTTTCCCTGCAAAAAAAACCTGAAAACGCTGCCCGCAACAAAAGGTATCAAAGTGGGTGGGTGTTTTTGTCGAGGGTGCTTTTGGGGAAGCCAAAAGAAAACAACTCCATTGTTGGCGTACCCGTATTATGACACATACTCAAGTGGGTATCAGGCAATGATCCATTCCAAGAAATTCCCCCCAACCTCACGGGTTTGGTTTCCCTTTCACGAGCCGATGTTCAATGGTTGTGCCAGGCAGTTCGGAGAAGCTTTTTGGGAAGCCCTTTTTGGATGGTTTTTCGGAGAAGCCACAAGGAAAAGAGCATGGGTGATTTGGGGAGGGGCCGTAAAAAGACCGGTTGCAGCCATCGTAGGTCTAACTTCAGCGATTCCATCTGGTAGCGTCAGTGGATTGGATTTTGCAGCCAGGGCTCAGTTGTCCAACATGAGCCTCACATGTTGCTTTGTGCCAAAGACGTGAGTTTCTATCGCCTATGTTCCACATGTTGTTTGCTTTTTGAATTGTTTTAATGATCAATGAGGAAGCTGTATGAGCTCCCCATGGCTAAGCCGCACTTGAGTGCGTGAGCTTCCTCGGAGCGGCCCACCAATGAGCCAGCAAGTTAATTGGCTTCAAAGCGCATAATTTCCTGTAAAACGAGACGGTGACCTGAAACTCTTATCACTCCAATATTGATAGCCAGAATCAGGAATTCTATACACTATCCTTTTCTCCGACAAAGTTGTATTTTCGACTGTGGCACTTGAGTTTGCCCTTTCGCTCAGTGCGCCTTTAAATTCCACAGATTGTGCCCTCGCTCGTGTTGAATAGAAGAGTCCAACATGTTGCAGGTATTGGGGTTGGCATTTTGTTGTTGAAATGGCACGCGAGACATGGTTTTTTCTCTAGTTGAGTTAAGCTTGTGTGTGTGTGTGTGTGAGCGTGTCGTTTTCCGGTGAAGATACACCAAGATGGTCTTGCGTTCACTCTGCCTGCAGCCAGAGATACAGAGAGGGCGCTCGACCCGGAAGACTTGACACAATGAGGTTTTGGTCTCCTAGGAGATCCTCTATTTTCCCTAGCTCCCACTAACATGCCACGTGACTGGCACTCCTTTCAACATGAACCTGATCTACCAGGAGGGCTATGTTTGCGGAAAGGTTCCTCCCCGGTCAGCCCTAGGCTGCACAGCAGGACCGCATTGTCCGGCCTGCAAATGTGAAGCCTCCAGCGCAGGCGCGGGCATGGTGGCGGGGGCTTGGGGATGTTTCAAGGGACAACAAGAGGACACCAAAGCTTTTTTGGGGAGTTTAGTTGGCTCAAAATGATTGAGACTCCACGGCTGACTGTTTGACCTGCTTGGGTGAGGGATGCGGATGCTTATTAGCCTGTCGCCCTTGGACGTCGTTTGATCAGCGTGGCCAATGAAACACGCAGCGGACCTCGGTGATGGCGCCCGGGTTGCAAAGGATTGTTCGCAGTGGTGGAGCCCCGGAACAACCGGAGCTCTTCACTGCACCACCTGGGCCCCAGCCCAAACCCTCATTCGAGCTGGTCGAAGGTCCTGATATTCAAAGGGCTGGTAATTAGGGATAAGTAAATCGGACACGGCCAGACGTCATCCCAACCCCCTGGACAGTTCTCCGATGTTACAAAGCTCCCATTTGCCTCCTGGGTGTGTTTATGTATATATATATATACACATACACATACATATTCGCCTGTTTGACTTTTCGCCTGGAAGGGGCAATGGTTGAGGGAGAATGTATTCAGTTGATGTTCAGACACACGCCAACGGGCGCCCTTCAACAAATAGCCTTTCTGTGGACGGGCGCCAGGTCTGGTTGTACCCTAAAAATAGCTGGAGGGGTGTAATGTGGACGGGCGCCAGGTCTGGTTGTACCCTAAAAATAGCCGGAGGGGTGTAATGTCAAAGCTTATAATTGGTTACCTGTTTGGGGGGTCAACATATCCACGCGTTGGGCCAATTCAACCTCAGCTTCTCTAGAGATATTGAAATATTTAAAAGGGTTGGTAGTTGTCCGTTGCGGTTTCCATCGGTTTCTCGTTACAAACTTGTTTGGCATGCATACATGTCAGACACCATAGTCTCTTTGGGCCCCGTAAATGGAGCCAAAGACCAGGGGTTCTGGGCATAATGTTGACCCAGGATCAATAAACCCGTCCCATTATCGGGGTGGTGTTCCCTCCGAAAGTGGTCTGAATCCCCACCCCCCAATCAAATCTGGGTTGATTAATCCGGGGTGGACGAAATCCTGCACCACTTTGAAACCATGGGAAGCCATGGGTGCGTTGGATGGATTTCGTCCATCCACAGTATGTGACTTTTGGGCCCCCAGAAAGCTCATGCTTGAAACAAAATGGATGCATACCAAAAGTTCTGGGCATGGGAAGGTATCCCGCTCGACCATCGCTGCCCCGCGCTGGGCGCTGGACCCCAGACAGGCAGAGAGTCGAGCCGAACATTTGAAGGAGACACCACTCATAGTCAAAGGGGACCCCCCAAGACAGGTCAGTCCCTTATTTGACTTTGGTGCATGTTGCCAAAGGATGTAATAGGACTTAAACTTTTTGCCAACTGATGGGTTTTTTGCGTATTAAACCGCTAGAAGTTAAACTTTTAGCAGGGGAGCAAAAAGCAACCGAGTGGAAGCTTCGATGTTTAAACGTTTGTTTTCAATTCGGGACTCAAATTCAGGAGGTGCTGGTCGATCTTTGGGTTAGACCTGAACCTCAAGACAACTTTGGTTGGCTATGGCCTTGGTCAGTTGGCTCCAACCCTCAGTCTGGACCAGGGACAGTCTGACTTTCGGGACTCCCGGCTGTCAAGCTGACCTTTGTAATAGAGTTTTTTATGTCGGGCCGGAGGTTGCGAGCCTTGATACCTTTATGCTAAGTGCACAGCCCAACTTGCTGGGTCCTCGATTGGGTGTTGAAACCACTTGAGTAGGTAATGGTAAGAGGACCAAGCCCGGCGCCAGTTGTAGCCACGGTTCTATCCTACGTTCGAGCATTCAGGGAACGAGGAAATCATCGGACCAGACCCTTCTCCGTTCCTTGTTGCGAGCCCAAGTTGTGGCTTTTTTTTGCGGGCCCATGTTAGAACTCCGGGTTTCGGGTGGGTTTTTCGGAGAAAAAACGGGAAAGCCCCACCCAAGGACCCGAGGCCAAGGTGGCACCCATCCGCAAAAGGGGCGGCTCGGGGATTTTCCGAGGCCGAGGTGTCGGAGAGCTCCGTGAACCGAGCCACCATCGCCATGCCCTTGCCGCGCCAGGCGAATTTTTTTGAGGCGGCAAGGCCATGTTTTTTTTCGTCCTCCTAGGGCTGGTTTTTTGTTACTAGGGCTGGGTTGGCTGGGTTGGTTGCTTGGTTGCATTGTCCTCCATTTGCCTAAGAACATTTGTCATTTTCCCCCTGTTGGTTTTAAAGGGAATCCAAATGGAAGTTTTTGACGCGGCAAGCCATTCGCGGCGTGGCTTGGTTTCTTCGTTGCCGTCATTGAGACTCCAGGGGTCCGGCGTTGTTTTTTTTCCTCCTAGGTCCTAGGGCTGGTTTTTATTACAAGGGCTGGGTTGGCTGGCTGCTTGGTTGGCTGCTTGGTTGGCTGCTTGGTTGGTTGGTTGGTTGGTTGGTTGGTTGATTGGTTGGTTGGTTGGTTGGTTGATTGGTTGGTTGGTTGGTTGGTTGGTTTTCTGTTTGGCCGAATTCGAGTCTCCTTCTGACACTAATTAAACATGGGGTTGCTCAACAGAAAGAGGGGACTCACTAAACGGTCACGGAGACTCCAAGCAGCTGGAGGCGTGATGGATTTATAGGTCCACTTTAGAGGGGAACGATCGCCTTTGTGGTAGCACACAGAGACACACACACACACTCATACATATACATATGTATATATATATATACATATACACATCTCCGGGAAGCAGCTGTATCTCTGGTGGCAAGGGGCAGTGTTGGACGCTGTGGGGGAGGACAACCATCACAAAACCAGGGCGCCCACGCAAATTCTCCATATCCTTTAGTGAAACGAGCAGTTTTGTCCAGAGCTCATAGACAGATACAGTCAGGGAGCTTGCCATGCCAGGCAAATCATTTTTGGCCCACGCCGAGGCCTTCACAGATGCCAGCCATACCCTTGGACTCAGACCATAAGTTGTTGTTTTTGAGTTTAGAGGGATCTATGACATGTCGCAGCAGAAGTTCAACCTTTAAGGGATCGATGATCCGCCAATGCAAAAACCCTTATTTCCTTTTTGGATTCGATATGTCTCCCTAATACATATGTGTGTGGCATGTTCCACTGGTTTCTGGCGCCCCCTTTTGGAGAGATTCAATCATCCATCCCATCCTGAAGGAGGTTCCATTTCCATCTATTTCCTACTGATCCAACTAAGCTCAGTCTTTGGTCTTCTGGGGGGTTCCTTCGTCCACTGCCAGGGCTACACCGGCAATGCCAAGCCTGAGGAGGGACATGCCGCGTGTGAAAATCCGGGTGCCATTTGGGAGTTTCCCAGCGTGCTGGACCGCCTTGGATGGTTTCGCAGGGAATCAAAAGGAAGCCAACCGTTTTAGGGAAACGTATTTTGAGAAACACCCACACAGCTGCCTTTTCTATGGGTTTCGAGCTCACCGATTCAGGGATAGAACAAGCCATGGTGGAGGTGCTTGACCAGATCAAACTCTTTTTCGGGCTTTTTCGGTTACTTCCATCTTTTTGCTGAGGGGTTCCTTTTAAAATTAGGTACCAGGTACACAAAAGAGGGTGCCTTGTTTCTCTGCCACGGGGGGGGCAGGGCACATCTTAAACATATTGGGCCAACCTTGGCAAGCCTTGGATTGGTTTGGCGGGAGTTGCAGCGACCAACCGTCCCATGTTTGAAAGGCTGTACCTGGCTTTGTAGGGTTTATGGCAAGGCCTTTCTTACGTTTTGGAATAGCCATCTTCGTAGGACTCATCCGTCTTAGTAGAACCAACAATTGAAAGGTCTATCGAATCCTTTATAACCATCTTAGAACTGATAGTCAATCGGTTGTGGGCGCTGCTCAAAAATCCACAGCGCCATGATTCTTGCGAAGCTTGGTGCATTCAAGCACCAAAGCTCACTTTGGCGAAAGACGGTTCCAAAGAAGCACCGTAGAGGCAGAGCCATCTTCTTTCTGAGAAGCAAAGTACGGCTAGGTTTGAGCCAACGAGGATCAAACCACCAGCATCTGGCACAGGGGAAAAAACTGGCAGCTTCTTTTCTAAAGCGCCTGGATGATGGCGACTAAATCCCGGTATCCCTTAGTGGTGGTTAGGGGGTTTCAGGAAATGCTCTTACATGACGAACATTTTGACAAATTTGGCTATCTTGCTTGAGGCACAGTTGTCATCTCACGGTCTAAGTTTGATTCTTTTGTTTGGCAGAAACTGAAGAGTTATTCCATCCTTGCCGTTTTGTTTTATTCCTGCTGTATCCCAGGGTATGTAGAACCACACGAATCCCAAAAAGAGATGGCCCGCTAACCGTGTGTGTTGTGATTCCAGGCTCAAATGTAGCCCAGTTGGAAACGGTGCCAATCAATCATAAAGGGCTGCCTTCTTACCAGGGCAACTGGGTCGACATTGATCTGTTGTCTGTTTCCCTTTACCAGGGGACTCCTCCAGTAGATTTGAAAATACCTTTGCAGTGTTGCTTTTGAAGGGAGTTCTGTGTCTTAGTGTCAAACAAGGGGTGAACGGATATGGTTTCACCTCCTTGGATATGGATGGACAAGCCTGCAACCAACAAATGGATGCCATGTCGTCTGAGGCTGCCTTGGTTGCCCTTCTGCCCCTGGCACAAATCCCTGACGCCCAGACCCCATGCTCTCTCCCTGAGTTCCTGGACTTCATACTTGGGCCCATCTCAGTGGCAAACAATAAGTGGGTGACTTCTCTTGCTGCTGCTCAGGGAATGAGAAGCGGAATGACCCCTTCTTGAACCATGACTTGAGGTCTCCCCGTTCCTTTAAGGGCACCGATTCCTGGGTTCCTTCCCTACCGATTTCGCAGCAAGTTTTCGTCCCAACGCCTTCGCTGTCCCCGAAGCCAACCCCCTCGCGCCGACCCCGGCCTCGCAGCCTCGCAGCCTCGCAGGCGCCGCGCTTGATCCCCAGCACCATCCGGACCAAGGCCTTGTCCCCTTCCCAGGCCGGACGGAAGTTCTCAGGCACCGCCAGGGGTACCGGCAGTTTCTAGGGGTACCGTGCATTTCCATTCTGAACCCAGGGATCCCGTCTTTTCAGGAAACCATCCCAAAAACCCAGGGGAAACAGATGGAAACAGATCCGGTTTTTGAAAAGAGCGATGGTTGAAAAGAATGGGGAATCGACCCCTAGACAGTTGCCCAGTGGGTTGCTCCCTTTTTTGCAGTCCTTTTTGGGAGAGGGGTTCCGATTCCTTGAAAGTCAACCAACCCAAAAAGGATGCCGATTCTTTTTTGCTCATGGCCACTGGGCATCCGAGGGTTCAGTTGCCATTGGATTTGCTGTGACACTTGGGATGGGCAGTCGAGTTCATATAACAAAGGTTGAGTTCATAGAACCACCATTAACCGCCCATTTACCTCAGTTGCATCATCCAGATTGGGTCCTCGCCATTCAAAGAAGGAATCGCGCATGGGGTCACATCAACCTACCATTTGCACGTCACTCACCGCCAGTATCAGTATCCAGCCTATGCCCTGGTATGTTCAGCATGGTCTGCCAGCCTTCCCCAATGCCATTGTCATTCCCAACATTTCGGATTATTGTACAGTAGAACATCGAGGGAAACCATGATGTGAAACCAAGGGTTGAGAAGCTCTGGTTGCCCACCATTGAGGCAACTGGAAGCAATTGGATGGCTTACCCCTGGAGAAAGACGGCAACTTCTCATCAGCGGAGACCCTTTGACCACCTTCCACTGTAAGATGCCCTAACTCCCACTGAGACTCGAGACTCTAACATGAAGTGCTTGTCTGGGAAGCCAAGGAGTCGGTCGGGAAGGATTGGATCATGCACTGCAACAAGCTCTCACATCCAGGCCCTCTCGACCATTGGGACGAGAGTAACTCTGCTCACTTCCATTTGCTTCAGCCCCCTGGAAAAAATCCAGTAGTCATAGATTCCCTTTACAACCAACAGGGGGGGGGCCAAAAAAGCACATGATTTAAGCAAATGGAGGGCTCCCATGAGTGAACTCACAGCACAGGGGCCTCATGAGAAGGCCCGGGTGAAAGACGGAAATCACTTGACACCCTTCAGCTTTCTACACGACACTTTCGCAGCTGCGAAATCTGCTCCCCTGCTATCAGTTTTAACTTTTAGTGGTTCAATTCAGAAAACCCATTGGTTGGCAAACAGTTCAAGCTTTAACATCCCTTGGCAAAATTTGCACCTCTGCTATGTTGGGTTCAACCTACAAAAGGTAGCCTTTCTATCGAGATGCGCTCACAGTTCGCCTTCCAGCCTTGGGTTTCTGGACTCCAGATGACCCAAAGGTTCAAACCACTTCAGCAGGTTTTATGAGCCGGGGACGAATTAAACCCCTACCCCAGCAAAAAAGCCATTGTTCTCAAACTTTACAACCTAAGTTGTTTTTCAGCATCCAAGAACATCACAAGGTGCAGTTTGTTTATGCCGAACTCGTTCACAGTTCATGGTTGTTGTTGGGAAACATTTTGCACTTTTGCTTATTGTGGTTTAGCGGGAAATTCCCACTTAGCTGCTAAAAGTAAAAAACAAATGCCCCCCTTCCAACGTCAACCAAGAGTTTGCGCCAGGTGCAAGCTGTGGGCAGAAGATGAGCTGAGAATGGCGAATGCGGTAGTCGGGTTTCGGTGCTTTCCTGGAAGCTTCTCAAGTTTCCAACCGGGGTTCGACCTGCTTCTCTCCCTGCCCCAAGCGTATGGGTGTGGATTTAATAGGGAGCCCTCTTGTGGACATCATTTGGGTGGGGATGCATGTCCAGCGACCCCTTGCGCGGTGGTTGCCGGTAAACTTCATTGCCATATGTGCACTTGAATCTGGGGTCACCAACCTTTTCTAGGGTTCATGTTCGGGGTATATGAGGGTATATATTTGGGGCGCATACCCCAAGAAACACGTGGTCACTTACGTCAAATGGAGTACGGCAACTATTGTTGCTTGTGCCTGAACAGCACAGCTTTTAGGTTTAGCCGCAAGATCCTGCTTTGCAGGGTGCTTAGTCATAGATCGAAACTTGCGGGTTTCCAGGGACAGGTTGAACAAAAACAATGGCTTTGGTTTCGCCGGGTGACACTCAAAGAGCAAAGTCTTCTGATATTTCGCATGAGTTTTGGTTTTGGTTTGCCAGGCAAAGCACCATGCACCGTGTTGTGCCCGGAATTTGCAATGCCGATAATTCGATGAGTCCCGGCAGCTGAGGCTGCGCAACGCCACCCTCGAGCATTGTTTGGGAACATCCCTGGAAAGCGGCCGCGCAGAGACAGTTGCCTGAAGTTAATCATTGGAGTAAGTTTTCCACGGATAGGTGCCTCCACCTGCAGGTTTAGGTTTAGGTTTACAGTCCTTGGTGCTTCTTACAGACTTTTACCGGATACCGTAACTCTATGGCGATGCGAACTGGATATCTTGATTGCGTCCGATTGGACCTAGGGCATTCCCTTGGCTTACGCCCACCGTGCCGAAGGACCCGCCACCGCTCCACGGCGGGAACATTGCGCTCGCGCGAGTCGAATCGAGCAGCCGTTGTCCACCTCAGGGATCAATTGTGCTACAAGCATTCTTGGTAGGCTGTTTGTTTTGGCGAGAACGTGCGGGCACCAACAAATGCAGTTGGGGAAACAGATGTTGTGCGTTCTCATTCAGTTGGAGCTTTTCACCACTTGTTTTTGTTGTGTGTGAGTGGCCACGGTTGTGCGTCTTGCTTTCGTTGTCAAACGTTCTCTCCGTTTTAGGGTCTATCCATTCGGGGATTGGAGTCGGACTGCCATGATTCATATAGCCCTCAGGTGGTTTGGAGCCCGGTGGTTTGGGGATTCAGAGTAACACGAGGCTTCCACTTAGCTGAAAACACCGGGGCTACCGTGGGCTTTGTCAACTCCATCTGATCTCTTTTTCGCATTCTGGACATCGACTCCATGTTCACAAAGTCATCGTCTCCAACGCCCCTTCGAAATGCCGAAACGCCCAAGCCCTAGTAAGTCTGCTGCATTCAGCCTTTGGCTAAGACGAGCGAGGCGCTGGTCCTTTTGCTTCAAAGGATCCGAGCAACTGGTGGTTCGGAGCCCGGTGGTTTGGTGTAGGGAGGGTTGAGGGACCCTTAAGGCCCTGAATATGGGTGTGGGTCAAAATGAAACCAGGGGACCTGGTTTAGTGGGTTCCATTTACCAGGGCAAGCCATTTTGGGTACCCATTTTTGACCCACAGCCATGACATGAAGGCCCTTGGTTTTCCACTGCAAAGGGTCCCTCAGGGCCATTCCTCGCCAAGGTGAGGCAGAGAAGGCGCGGCGGGGCAGCCAGCGACTGGCGCCAGCGAATGGCTGGGCTCATGGTGTGTATGTTGTTTTTTTGCTCCCCGGTGAAGGAACAAAAGGAGTTGTTGATTTCTCGCGTTGCTTTTGCCACCTAAACTCGCTGAAACGAACCGCCATGTTTGGTTTGGAGGGGGGGAACCGTTCAGGTGAATCATGTAAGGACCCCTGAAGGACACTTGTCTTGGTCCATAGAGATGGATGATGGATGTCAAGCCAGGCGTTGAACAGGGAAGGACATCAATCCTGGGATGCTTCAACCATCAATGGGCTTTCAATTCAGGTTGCACATCCCAACACAAAGCGTGTATTGATTGTGGGATGGATTTGGGTGGGCCGCGCCCCCACGACTGCCCTGGATTTTATTCTAGCTGGCTTGGGTGAAAGTAAGTCGTTTTTCATGACACTCCCAGCATGAGAATCCTTCAGTTCGGTTGGTGATGCATACTTAGTGGTGCGGCGAATCTGTCTCGTTTAAGTTTTTGTGGTCACCACTGAACTCGTATGCCACGCAAGTCAGTTTTGGGCCAGGTGCAACCCGCACCTTGCTAGTTTCACATTCGTTTCCGTTGAACCGTAGTTCAGTCAGTGCCACCGTTTTTCTTCCCTTTTTTTTGATGTACTCCCAAGGAACACCGGTCAAAGCAATGATTCCATTTGTTGTCATGGACCCACTACATGTGTACTTTATCCCTATGCTCTTTTGGAAAGTCGCCGTATGACAGATTCAGATTTGTCCAACGGGGTTTGTTAGTGCTCACGGAGCCATTCCCCAATCTGACGATGACACACATGGCTATGGGTCAAAGTTAACCCATCAGGGGACCGCAGGTTTTGGTCCATGTGTCCATTTACCAGGGTTCCCTGGGTACCTATTATTGACCCACACCCACATGTTCTTTGTGTTGTCCATTGTAACCTTGGACAAAGTTGCTGGGGCATTTCTTTGGCCCCTCAAAAACTTGAAAAACCCCATGCATCACCCACTTGGATTCGGAACTAGGCAGAATCTTCCAAATGCTTCATACGAAATGCGGATCCATGGATCTTGGCGCGGGAGGTCCCACAAGCTTGATTGATTCCCTATAGTCCAGTTGGTGAATCGTAATTCGCCTAGACGGATGGGCACTGGCACATGAGATTTCAAGACAGGGCATCCTTTCAGGGGTAACATATTGGTGCTTGTTTTTGGGGGGATCCCCAAAAGTGGTGGTTTTCAACTGGTTTCCCCTTAAAACCACCAACAAGGGGTACCCTCAAAAAACGACACCCCCATGTGGACAGGCAACCATTGTAAGGGGCCCGTAGTATTGTTGTTTGCTCGTGTGAGCTTGTCGTCAAGTAGGGAACCCCTTGTTGCCTGTTGTTGAATTCAAAAGGAAGCCATCCCGATGGGGTCTCTTTGGAGAAAGACCCGTATATCAGCATGCACACACCCGGGCATGTATTCTGTGAGGTTCTTGTTTTACATGGATTCATGGCGCATTCACCACGGCGCAGGAGGAAACTTTGGGCGGGAAGTTCTGCAATGTGATGGACGACAGTGTCTTCCAACAGCCAGTGCGGGTCCCAATCGAATGTCTCGAAGTTGCGTGTTAATCAATCCTTCTTGAACATCAACCCATCAAAACATATTTCTCGAAAGTCGGTGCTCTTGTTAAGTCCTCGTGCTGAAAGCGACAGGAATTCTAACCTCAATTTCAGGGGGCTTGCAAAGATTGCGCTTGTGTGCAGGTGGGTGGGTCCTGATTTCTGGTTTTGCGTGTCTCATCTCCTTTGTGTGTTGGGCTATTTGGAAGGGGCCCTTGCCCAACAGACAAACCAAGGGCCCCCGCTTGTTGGCGTGTCCTTAAGCTACTAGACATACGAGTTCCAGACCTTTCGGGCGTCAAGGAGTTGGCTAAGGGGGTTGGGAAGGTTGTGTAGTGGCGGCCGTGGCGGCTCTTTTTCTGTTTTCCCAGAAAGCTTTGTCTGTAGCATAGCCAAGGAGAGATTGAGACTTCGAACCCCTCATGCATGATAGGATTTATGTTAGGTTCCCCCTAACACACAACCACGGGTCCCTGGCAACAGCACTTCCTTTGGGGCAACTTGACATATGGGAGAGATGCAACCAGGGCAGGATCCCCTTTGTCGAGCTTGAAAGAATCCAGTGCTTCCGGATTCATAAAACCAAAGTATGTTCGAATGTGAGGCTCACACTTGGGTGAAAGTGGATAGCACAACTCCAATACATATTGGTGATATCATGCCCTTAATGGGACTTGTGCTACTCAACGCCCTGGCACCTTCTTGAAAGCGTGTGACTGGGTCCATCCGAGTCATTGGGGTTTCTCAAAGTTACGTCTCAAGCTGATTCCCTTTCAACCACACAACTGGAGAGTCAATTTGAGGACGTCGTTCTAGATGCGTCTGCCTTAGAATTTTCCAACAACTGCGGCATTGTGCTGTGCAAACCTCGGCTCAACGAAGCGGTGCCCTGGGGCTGAACTAGGAGACTGGGGGCCGCCGGCTTTCATTCCCATGAGACCTTGTATGGCTTTAGAGACTCATAGACTCTGTGGCCCAGTGGTGCCTTTGTTTACTTTTCTTGGGTAAGGGTTCCCCTTTAAACTAACAAACAAAAGAAGGGTGCCCTTTTTTTCCCATAGTTACTGGGCATTTGCGTAGTGACTCGTAGAGACCCATGAGGGAAGCTTCAAAATGGTTGGTTTCTGAAATCGGTTTCACAAAATGACACGAGCCAAAAGGTAGTTCAGGACATACCGTGGAAGCTGGGCACGACTAGCCGACCACAACACATGTGCAATCCACAGGGATTTTTTTGGCCATGACATGTTGGGAAGGAAGACTCATTTTTGCTAGCCGTCCCCAAGTCCTTCTCAAGTTGATCAATGTACGACTTCTTCACACATTATGACTAGATTGATCAAGGGGGTGTATCAAACGAGGGATCCTCCTTGTGTAGAAAGCGAAACTACCGGGAGCACCAGTTGTGCGCCATTACTCTCACTCTGCGAGTTTATCGCGCAGGAACAACCCAAGACGTCGACTTCGGTCAGGAGCTCAGCTTATAGCTACACTCCCTGAGTTCCTGCACTTACAACTGGTTTGGTAGTCTCATTGTAGTGGCAAAGCATTTGGCCTTCTTTGTCCAATCCGCTCAAAAAGTAAGATAGCATCCAGTCGGGATTAAGCGAAGATGGCTCCTTGCACTGGGCCCTCTGATGAAATTATCTTGCATTTTAAGGTTCACTAAATATGGGCGAGAAGCAAGCTTGAATACATGCACTTTTGGTCGAGTCGAAAGCTGAGGTAGCGAATGTCTGGATTCTTTTTCAGAAGCTCGGGAATTCCTAGAATGGAATCAAGTATCCACTGACCCCAAGTTTGGTAAACATATGCGGTCGATTTTCCCTTCGGGAGAGATATGGGATGACTCGGCAACATGCCCGGGGGACTCGGCGAAAAATTCCCTCGACCAGGCGCAGTTGACTTGTTCCATGACCTTGGCAACCACATAGTATGGTCTTGGCTTATATGAGCTTCCCCCACTAGTGCTCTTCTCTCACCGTTTTTGGGGGAGGGTTCCCCTATATACTAAAATAGACCACCGGAGAAAACAAATAGAAGCACTGGCACCCTATTAATTTGCCTCTCTACTGGAGCTAGTAAGGGTCCTGTAGTGATTCCAACTTTTCGGAGGGGGAGCTGTAGTAGCTGCAAAGTTGGCCTGTTGCCAGTCAATCGTGCTGATATTCACAATGCTTCGCCAAAAGGCTACTTTCATTTGCGTTCTCATCTTTTGGTTTGCTTCTCCCTCCCACTCGGTTTCCTTTTTCTTGTTTTTTTTCTGTTTGCGGTTGTGCCAGGAAGGGATAGCCCCAGTGGAGGGTCCCATGTTCATATCCATGACTCGGTGGGTGATCAGTCGGTTTCAGACTCTCGTCACGGCAAGCGTGTTGCCTCTAGGATTCGTCAAGCTGTGCTCAATCACATGCTAGCATAAGATTGAATGGGTCTTGAGTCATGTTGTCAGCACATCTTGAGCGCTGGCGCAATGAGAACTGCTCCAGCGAGCTGACTTGGGGTAATGATGCTTCCTTGGAGAGTCCTTGTTGGTCGTGGACACATTCCGCCCCCCCACCAATTGACAGGGAACCTGACGGGGGGGTCCCGGGCGTCATCCATGTGAATTGGCGGGAGAGTCATTTACCCGTGCTTGTGGGAGGTCCGCGTCCATTCGGTGCCCTGGATGTCCGCATTGGAGAAACACTCCTCGGGCTGTTTCCCGTTGTTCTCTGCGTGGGAATCGCTCAATTAGCACTTCCTACAATCGATGATCGGTGGGGGTGATTTTCGCATTTTCTGCCAAGCACGGGCAAGATTCATTCGAAGTGCATCAAGGTTGCTCCAAGCCTCCAAACAATGACCAAGACGCAAGGATAGAACAGGATAGAACATTGGTATTGATTCCTGTTTCTTTGCCTTTCCACCCCTTGTGCTGAGCAGGTATTTGGAGCAACCCAATACGCCTTCAGATGCCAGCGCGGGGGGAGAGGGAAGGGGACTAACTCGGCCGAGGTGGGAAGACCACCACAGGCGCGTTTCTCAGCAGGGGACATGCCTGGCATTCCGGTTGGATGTAAGATGAATATCCAAATGTAGTATGGCAGATTCTAGCTAGTCCAAGAATCTCCTAGATAGTGGCCCATCCGACGTCAGTTGAAAGAGCCTGGACAAAAGACATGCCTTCTCTAGCGCTAAACTCAACAAGTCACTTGGAAGCTCACACAGCTTCAAACATGTTTGGCAATTTTAAGGTATGCACTTGGATTAGCATGAGTGGCCACTTCGTGGCCATTGCAACTTGGCCAGTTGCCGTTCCTAGACAAGTTACACACTTTACGTCAGCCCGCTTTACTTGCTTGGCACCCAATAGCCCAAGTTGAGAACTAGCGTTTTCACACGCATGGCCGTGAACAATCGCAGCCATGGCACACATCTCATGAGTTCCCTCGGAACTCCTTTGTGGATGAGGCAACACTAGTTCTGCCTCGGCTTCCATGATTCCCCAATCGGCCTCCGCTTTGAGCAATCCTGTACCTCCTTAGGTACCTCAACCTAGGTGCCTGCATGCAGACCCGCGTTTAGCAAACCATTAGGGATGAACAGCTTTTCCTGTGTAGGGTGTAAATTTCTGTGTCGCCGCCTCTGTATCTCCCTTCAGTACTTCAGGTGACCAGCCACCATCAAAACCCAAAGGTTTGTCAACAGAAGCAGGGGCGCCGGCACCCCGGCTTGTGTGGGAGCCCTGCGGGCTACTTTGATCTTGACTCCGCAAGAAACCTCAGAGCTACATTCTCAAGACCGATTCGGGCAGAAGGTTAGTAAGGGATAGTCCCAACCATAAATGGGTGCCTTCGCCGCCTTTTCAATTCTTTACATGCATGTTTCTGGCTAGACCATCCTTTTCTCCATTCAGTTTTGATGTCTGACTACTTCAGCCTACATCCCAGGCCCTCCACACGCGACGTGACAAAAGATCCCGAGACAACCGCGGACCTTCGCAGCCCGCACCGTGGCGAGGCTGCCCCAACGAACTCCTCCAAGTCCTCGGGCGCGGTGCCCCAGCCCATGGGTCTTGGGTGGTTTGTTGGTGCCTCACACCCCGCGGATCCTGGAAGCAGCGACACCAGCACGTGGATGGGGTCTGTGCTGGAGTAAGCCCACATCAGGCCCTTATTTGGGCTTGATAAGGGCTTGGCTGGGTTCTCCCCCCCCCCGAAGCCCCCATGAAACGCATGTGCAAGGAGTACTGCCCAAAGGTGAGACGTAGGGTCGCACCCAATCCTGATGCCATGTGCTCCTTTGGGATGTTGGGGCCGTTTCGGGGTTGTCCCTTCCTGCATATTGCAATTTTCCCAAATCCAGTATGTTTTCTGAAATGGTCTGCCAAGCTACCTGTCATTGGGAAATGATTGTCATGGTGGATTTCCCAAATTCTCTCCTTCCCCATTCTTTACAAGATCCTTCTTTCTAGACAACTTCACGCCCAGTGAAAACGACCGATTTTTGAAAAGAACGATGGTTGAAAAGAATGGGGAATCAGCCCCTAGAAATCCACATTTCCTCATGCTGTGCGAATGGCTTGCCAAGCTACCTGGGTCTTGGTGCTTGCAATAGGCAGCCAGCGGAATCGACTGGTCGCCCACAGCTTCCTGGAAGCAGTGGACGTTAGACAGAACCGCCAGTGGTTCAACCAGCCATCCGGTTCAACTTAGGTGCTTATTTGGTTTTTAGTTGGTTTAGTGGTTGGGTTTCAGTTAACCCACACATTAAAAACTCTTCGCAGGCGATCAGAAAACGGACAGCCCAGAAAAGGTAACATCCACCCAGTGTGATGGCTTTGGGAGCCAAAGCAGACTAAAATTATAGGGCTGAAAGACCATGACTATACTCAACTATGTACAAGGGAAGTCATTTAAGTATATACTCATATTTTTCAAACGAGCTTAAAATGATGCTAATGCGTGTCCTTTTGTCCATTCACCAGCCAAAAAGGGCAGGGCTCGGGGGTTTCACTCCAAAGGTTTGATGACAAAAACAAAAAACAAGAAAATGAGGGACTACTAAAATGGACGACAGAAAAAAATGGGGTACTCTCTGGAGGACCTAGTCCCTTTTCCCCCCCCCCCCCCCCCCGCCCTTTTTGGTGTTTTAAACATGGGAGCTGATCAATATTCCCTTCGGCCCCCAAATGAGCATGGGTCACTTTTTTTCCATGACAGATCATGTCCCCAGTAACTCACTCCCTGAGTTCCTGGACTCTAAACTTTTTGGGAAGACCATTTTAGTGGTAAACAGAAAGTTTGAACTTTTTTTGGCCCATCAACTCAGGAAGTGAGGTAAAGGACCTAGGTCGGTGTGCCTTTGGCTCCTCCCTTCCGCACGGCCGCGCGCTCCGAGTCCCGAGCCCCGAGGTCCTTCGATCGCCTTCTCCGCACCGCAGGGCGCGCGGGACATTCGGTCCTCGTGCTCCAGGAGCGGTCGGGCGTTGATTTTTCGGGAGGCGATCGGCGTGATCGTTGAAGCGGTTTGGGGCCAACTGTGCGTGTGTGTGTGTGTGTGTCTTTTTTTTTTGGGGGGGGGTATACCCT